CGGACATATATGTATTCTTCGGAACATGTGTGAGGTCTTTTGAGACATACTTGATCCTTGGCATATGTATGATTCTTAAGGAATGATATGTGGTCCTTAGGGACAACCTTATATGGCACTTCGGTGCATTTCTACGCGGCACTACGGTGCAATTCTACGTGGCACTTCGGTGCATTTATACGAGCTGTGGTGACAGCATTAGTGCACAACCTCTATAAACTCACATATCTATAGTTCTCAGAAATGTACATGGGTTAGACAAAGATATAACAATAATATATTACATGTGGAAAATATGCTTTTGTGATATATGTTGATATGTATTGCACGAGTCATATGATGATATGTGTATTGTTTGGTTACACGAAACATATGTTGGTTAACAAGGTTAAGTTCAATAGGATATGATCAACACATATAAATGATAGTAATATCGATAGTGAAATAAGGCTAATGATAGAAATGATGAGTGAGGAATATATGTGTGTATATGTTTTTATATGTAATGATATATATTGCATATGTGTTACAGGGTTTGTTACATGAATAAGGGTATGATGATAGTAGTAATGGTTCATACATGATTACAAGCTATAGTTTATATTTTATGTTTATTGCCTCACTAAGTCATCGACTTAGCGTGTGATTGTTTCACACGTAGGTTACCAAAGTGAGAAGAGTAAAGAGCAATGTGGAGCAAGATAGGTCAGTTCTTCTACCAAAGTCAGATCAGAAGAAAGGTGAATAATATGTATTTTAAACATTTTCTAGTTGGCAGTATTCAAGATAATATATTGTATAAGCTCTGAATAGTTGATAAGGTTTTGAATAAGTTATATGTAATAATAAATTTTAAATACTCACTATTTTTATACAAGTAAAGGCTTTTGAAAAGTCAATGTGCACTTCGGACTCGGATCCGGGTCGGATACAGGTTGGGGTGTTACATGACCATTAGACAACCTGCTCGTATGCTGATATGGTCTCTTTTGCATCACCAATTGCAATTGATGACGTTTCCTGCCACTTTAATGAAGCAGTCCAAAGTTTAGAACATAAAAAGTGGAGGATCGCCATGAAGAAGAAATGCAATCCCTTCAAAAGAACCAACGTGGAAACTAGCTAGTCTTCCGAAGGGAAAGAAGACAATTGGTGCAAATGGTTTATTGCAAATAAAGATGGATTTCCTGACAAGAAAACATCCATACAAAGCAAGATTAGTGGCTAAAGGCTACGCTCAAACGAGGGAGTTGATTATAATGAAGTATTCTCTAGTTGTAAAACATTCCTCCATCATAATTTTGTTGGCTTTGGTAACGCAGTTGGATTTGGAACTAGTTCAATGGATGTAAAAACTGCATTTTTACATGAGACTTGATGAGGAATCTACATGACTCAGCCAGATGGATTCAAAGTTGTTGAAAAAGAAAAGATGGTGTGCAAATTAGAAAAACCGTTTTACGGATTGAAGCAAACTCCAAGGCTGTGGTACAAACGATTTGACAAGTTTATGATAGGGCATAAGTACACAAGAAGCAAATATGATCATTGTGTGTATTTATGCAAGCTACAAGACGGATCCTATATATATCTTCTTCTTTATGTTGATGATATGTTGATAGCTTCCAAGAGTCAGACAGAAATTGCGAAACTAAAGACTTAATTGAACAGGGAGTTTGAGATGAAGGATCTTGATGAAGCGAAGAAGATTCTAGGCATGAGATATCAAGGGATAAGAAATTGGGGACTTTGTTTGTCTCAAATAATATCTAAGGAAGGTACTAAAACGTTTTGGCATGAATAAGAAATCAAAACCAGTTAGTACACCTCTTGCTCCTTATTTCAAGCTCGGTGCATCCATGTCACCTAAGGATGATGCAGAACGGGAATACATGTCAAAGGTTTTGTATGCAAGTGTTGTTGGTAACTTAATGTATGCAATGGTGTGTACGAGACCCGATATTTCACAGGCAGTTGGGGTTGTGAGCAGGTATATGCATGATCCTGGAAGAAGCATTGGCAAGCTGTGAAATGGATTCTGCGGTATATTCTGAACACCGTAGATGTTGGTTTGGTCTTTCCAGCAGACAAACAAGATGGTCAGTGTGTAGTTGGGTATTGTGATTCAAACTATGCAGGTGATTTGGACAAGCGTCGATCAACTACTGGTTATGTGTTTACATTTGCAAAGGCACCAGTCAGTTGGAAGCCCACCTTACAGTCAATAGTGGCTTTGTCTACTACAGAGGCAGAGTATATGGCAGTTACAGAGGCTGTGAAGGATGAAATTTGGCTTCAAGGGTTGCTTGGTGAATTGGGAATGGAACAAAAGCACATCAAAGTGCACTGCGACAGTCAGAGTGCTATTCATTTAGCAAAGAATCAGGTCTACCATGCAAGGACAAAGCATATCGATGTTCGATATCACTTTGTACGAGAGATTCTAGAAGAAGGTGGAGTCATAATCCAAAAGATTCGGACCACTGAGAATCCTGCTGATATGTTGACAAAAGTGGTAATGCGGTCAAGTTTAAACATTGTTTAGACTTGGTCAATATTGTTACAAATTGAAAGATGAATTTGTAGACACTACTGAAGATTGGATTTTTGAGAAATGTGTGTGGAATTTGCCAATGTAGAGATTTGTTGGTTTTTTGGCAAATTTTGAATCCCACATTGGTTTTGTATAAGGAGAAGGGGAAATTCTTTTGTTATAAATAGAACCCTCCTCCTCCTTAGTTTAACATCCCACAAATATAAGTCTTCTTCTATATTAAAGGCTATTTGTACTCTTTCTCTCTCATTGTAATATTTCATCTATTAGTGAAATATTATTTTAGCAGTGTTCGATGACTTAGGCATAATTTTAGCCTAACCTCGTTAAATTTTGGTGTTGTCTTTTATGTCTATTTAATAGCTATTGTCGGTTATAGTAGTTGTTAATTATTGTCCTATTAAAATTACTTGTCTTGGTAGTTCTGTCTAAGGAGAGTGGGTTTTAAGAGGGACTATTGTGACCCCTCCACTCTTTCCTGGGAATATACATTGTGGTGATTTTTAGTACAATCGTTTTCACATTAGTCACCTAGAAAATAGTTTTCAAGGTGAATTTGTTATTATTGGTGGAAATTAACCCGAATTCCACAACAGTGTGCTAGGATCACAGTTTACAGCCCACTGAACCACTTCGGCTTAAGGGCGAAAGGCGGCCGAATCACTTGACTACATCATTGACACTGTGCCCGTTGCTGGCACCCCTATTCAGTTCCCTACATCCGAGCTCATCAAATTCATTTTCGTGTTTTAGTTTTCGAGGGCGATGATGCCGATTTTCGTGATCTAAACGTTGGAATAGGGAGGAAGGAAATCACAGGGAGTATGATCGGAAGCGTGAAGGAAATAGAGGAGATGTTGCCATTTTGTAAGGAGAAAGATTTGACACGGTAATCGAAGTGGTGAACATCGATTGGTGGTGGATGTTGCGGGAAGCGAGACAAATAACTACAATGTACGTCGATGATAAACAAAGGCTCGAAATTACATACCCAAATAATCGTGCTTTCAATGTATTTGAAAGCAATTCTCACTTGCATTGACATGCGGTTAACCACTTGATAGTGTACAAGACAATGGTGGAACATGCGGTGATTACTATTTATTGTAGCCCGTATGGGCCAAATGATGATGCCAGTTATGACGAATTTGCAGACCATAATATGCATAATGATTTTACATTATCGAGAGCCTATTTTACAGCAGTATAACGCAATGGCAATTAGTGTGCATCTATGACGGCAACTTAGTTTGATTTTATAGTATTATTGTTATAATATTTTAAAATTAACGGTTTTAAGAGTGCTTTAACATGTGTCAATAATTTCTAGAGCGTATAATTAAAAGTTCTTTAAAATTATTTTTTGTCCAGATTGTTGTTTGAAGTCTATTAATCTTTAACGATATTTTTAACAAAATAAAATTTGATAGCCGACAATCATATATATATATATAAACAACCAATTAGTCTATTAACGTATATGATGATTTTAGGTTTAACATTAGTCGTCGGAAGGTCGGCATGAAAACCCATCAGACGAGCTTAATGGAAAGATTTTATCTCTTCTCAAGCTTTTTTATTTGTATCTGCTAATTTATTTCTACCTCCATTCTCTCTCCTCATTCGAACCCGCAACAGACACTTAACCATCTTTGTACTAGTCGTCATGGACGAATGGATGATTTTATTTTAAGGGGTGAACTTAAATTTAAGGGGATGAATTAAAATTATGAGACAAAACAGATTTTCAATAGGAAATACATATGAAAAAAATTTAAAATATATGCTAATTTTAAATTTTCAGAGGCACTAATAGTCGTGATTTTTAGTGAATTATCAATAGGGGTGTTTACTATTTGGTTTTAACCGAATTAAACTACCGAATTAAATTAATTTAATCGGGGAACGGTTAATATTTTTTCAATATTTGGTTAATGGTTAATTCGATTTGAAATCGGTTAATTCACCGAAATTATTAAATATTATATATATTATAAACATATTTTAAGCTCAAATCCATGAAAAACTAATACCCATTATTTTTTAATCACACTAGATTTATTAAATTATCAATACCTAATTAATTTTTAACTCAAATAAAAAATATATATATCTATTATATTTAAATTAATCTAATTATAAAAAAATGTATAAAAATTAGTTAATTCGATTAACCACCGAAATAACCGAACTTTATTAGTTTAAGTTAATATTTTTAAAAAAATTAATTCGGTTAACGATTAATAGAAATTCGATTAATGGTAATTCAATTAAAACCATAAAAATGGAAACATCATGCTTGTAAAATTCGAAGTTTAAATCATGCAAGAAAATCAAATATTAAGATCCAAAACAATTGTCTTTTTTATGTTCCAAGAAAAAAAAGCATACTAGCTGTCAAAAAATATAGGATCACATTAAAAAAATCATAACAAACAAAGGAGAAATGAAAAGAGACCTAAGCTTTTTAATAATAATTTGAAAATAAATAAATTGAATAGTTCAAAAGCACAAGCAGTTGATTTGTTCGTCAAAATTGATCAAAAATCTTCGAATTTTTCTGGGTTCTCCTACCTCCAAATAAATTGATCTTCGTTTGGTGAATCTTGTTTAACGACCACTTATTCAAAATTAACAGATCATTAAATCGTCTTTAACCCCAGCTTTCGTTCTGGAATCCAAACTCTGCCATGCAATCTCTCACTTCTTTCCTAATCATCTCCCGCATTGCGGCCATGATCTCAGGTCCAAAAGGTGCCGTATATGTACCGCTACCATGACGGTTTCCCGCTAATAAGCACAGCTGTTTATTCGTACACGTATTATCGTTGTTCGACTCAACCAACTCGTCGCTCCAAGAACGCCCGAGCGTAAGCGCAGTCGATACGGCACGAGAATTTTGCAGTTGAGTCGACTCGGCGCCGCTCAGTCCCAGATCGCTGACGTCAGACCCCGAAGGACTGCCGGGGTCACTGATGACACTAACGGATCTCAAGCGTTTTCCCGGTCGCATCTCCGATTCATGAGCAGAACCTCTGTCCTCGTCCGGTCGTCGTCGTTTCAAGGTCGAGTTCCAGTGGTTTTTAACGGCGTTGTCCGTACGACCGTTGAGCAGCCTCGAGATGGTGGCCCACTTGTTTCCGAACTTGGCGTGCGCTATGATGATGATCTCATCTTCCTCCGCAGTGAACGATCGGTGCTCCACTTCAGGCGACAACTGGTTGCACCACCGCAGCCTGCACGATTTTCCCGATCGACCGGGGATCGACCCCGATATCAAAGACCAGTTCCTCGGACCGTGGCGCTGCACAAGCTTCCGCAATGCCTCGTCCTCCTCCGGTCGCCATGGACCCTTCACACGATCAACGTCTTGATCCATTGGTTCAATAATAAACCGTCGATTTCTGTCTTTTCTCCCAATGGCGATCGCCTATCTGATTAAAGGCTCGTATTATGGTTTTGAGATACAGAAGGCTTATATAGGGGATGCATTAGTAGGGTAACTGATAGAGCCGGTTAACAAATACAGGTAACAAGAGTTGGATTGAACCGGTATTGACCAGTAAAAGGTTGAGTACCCATACAGCTGTATAACGTCTACGGTGGCCACGTAGACGGGAATTGAAATTTCGATTCCCAATAACCCTCAGGGGTAGTTTAGGGATTCTGACTCGCACAGTTATGGAAGTTACTTACATGGAAAGAGTGAGAAAATCGCGAGAAATTGAGGAGAATTTATGGGAGAGGATAAATTTGACTCTGCCAGGCTGGAAACCATTACGTGGGACTTTAAAATTTTTCGGTTTTTTTGTCGTTTTGTTCGGGTTTAGGGTGTTGTGCAGAGAAAGAAAATATCGGTGACGTGGACAAAAACAGCCAAAGGAAATTGGTTGACAGCTTCTCAAATTCCGGCCTGTAAACCTGCCACCGGATAAGACTTTTAACGACTTTCCGGCCACCGACACGAAGAGGTAACAACCGATCCTCTTGACCTTAACCACCAAAAAAAAAAACTCCCTGCCGACCCCAATCTATTTATGATTTTTTTCCAATTAAAAATGTTAATGTATTAATTAAATATTTAAATAATTTAATCTTTAAAGAGCCGTTTCCGTTAAGATTTAGTATTTTAAATTAATTAAATAAAAACTTATTATTTTTAATATTTTCAAATAAGAGTTTAACATTTTTAAATATATTCAAATAATGATTTAATATTTTTTTTATAATTCTTCTTTCCTTTACACTTTGAGCATATTCGAAAACATAAGGAATTTATGGAGTAAGTTTAAAAAAATGTTAAACCTTCGTTTATTATTTAAGTGTTTGATCTTTATTTAAACATATTTAAAAAAAATAAACCTTTTTTTAGTGATTTAATATGAACAATCTTCAAAAGATTAAACAATTATTTGAATATTATAAAAATTTAAAAAGTTAACCTATTTATAGTAACACTGCAAAAAAAAAAATTAAAACCGTAGAAACAAACAAAATTTTCTCAAAAAGAATAAAAACAAACAAAAACTCACATTTATATGGGAAAAGTTAACAATATTTATAATTCAGTAATTTGTATACAACAAAGTAGTAATATCAACAGTTTAAGTTATATATAAATTGGTTTAAAGTATATAAAATTTAAAAGTAAATCATGTCTGCTCTTTCTAATTAATTTTAACCATAATTTTAATTCTATTTAATTTAATTTTTAATATAGTTTAAGTTATAAAATTTAATTTGTGTTAAAAAAAAACCTAGCCGTTCTCTCTTTTCACCCTCTCAGCTATTTTCTTTATTTTTCTTTCTTTCTTTATAATTTATGTCGTTTTCTATAAATCGAATCAACTTTTTCTTCTTTGATTTTGTTTAGTCGACACGACACCAATTTTGATATTGGTTACCAACTGCCGATTGTTTTTTTCTGTTTCTTTTTTTAGTTTTTTTAATAAGAATAATTTGGTATTTGTGATATGTTTATCTCTGCTTTATGGTTGTTTTCGTTTATCTTTTTTCTCATGGTTAGATTTGACATTGCCATGACTGATCAATATGACACTTATTTGTTATCAAGCTGATCTTTCATGCTTTTGACCCTCAAATTGATTTGGATATACGCATTTTGTGTTCGTTGATAGTTTTCTCACTAGCTTGACTTGATTATCAAATGTCCGATCTTGCCACATAATTGGCATTGCAGACGCGATCGACCTTTACCTCTACCACCTCCTCGAGATCCGGTAGAATAATTGAATGTTGATCCGTACGAGTATTAGAGAAGGAGGAGCCACGTCCTTCTCCCGAGCACTCATCGGTAGCACCTCATTTTGCTCATCAAAACCTGCAAGTTGCATTTCAGCATCAAGTAACATAGTATATATGTTATCAAGAGTCAAGGTTTCTTTTATGGTGGTTATAACGGCCACAAAGGACTGATAATCGCGAGGGAGACCCTTTAGAATATTGGCAATGCGTTCAACAGAAGGAACCGGATTGTCACAGGACTCCAATGCATCACATACTTCTTTAACACGTGTAATATAAACCCTCATAGTGTCACCACCTTTCTTTAAGGACTGCAATTTAATGGAAACTCATTACAACAATCGTTGACCGAGTAGAGAAGAATTGTAAAACAGTGTTCCAGACTGCTGATGCAGACTCAACACCAACAAATTGAAGAAGGAGCGGAGCACTGATGGTAAAAAGGAGCCAAGAAGCAAGTGCATTGTCTTGTGCAACAAACTCCTCATAATCTTCATTAACCCGAACAACACCGTTGTTATCAACCACCATTTCTGGTGGCGTAGAGGATGCACCAGTGAGTAGTCGTTCTAGCCGATGACTGCGAACAGTCAGCAACACATGATGCTTCCAAAGCAGGAAGTTCATTTCATGGAGCATAACATTGACTTTCTTATGGGAGAAAGTTTTTGAACTCTGCACAGGAAACTCTATAACCACGCACTTTATGCAACATAAGTCAAGCAATGAAGACCAACACCACCAGCTCTGATACCATATTGGATTTCTCTATTCAAAAAATTTAGTATTTTATTGAATCATTGAACTGAGATTAAATACACAGTTAAACCATGCTTATATACAAGTAGTGCACGTGTAGTTTGCTTTTAACAGAAGTTTGTTAACCCTAACAGACTATAACTGCTTCCTCAACAACTCAGCAGCTTTTCACACCAACAACCGTCCATTCTACGTGTCATACACTTTAGCTCTAATACCTCCGATTTCAAGGAACGAGAAACACCCAACAACGAGAAGTTTCTCGTTTCAAGTAAGTTCATTGCCGCGTGTTACGTACTTTGAAGTTTCTTGGCTTAAGAAGATGTATATTTACTAACCGGTTGAATTAATGTTCTAGTTCATGAGAATACATCTGACAAATCTATTAAAAAAAACCAGGAAGATTTCTGTTTCTAATTGAATGGTTGCTCGAACACTACTTTAATGATACATTAGTTTGGTTTAACCTTTGTCCATTTTTGAATCTACCATGCTGGTTGACTAGGAGTCAGAGAAGTTATTGTGGGACAATCATGGAATTGGTGGTTCATGACTTTATGCATTTATTTTCTATACAACTTGGCCAAATTTTGTGGATTAAAGAAACAATGATGGAAAAGCTTCAGCGCCATTTCTTTTCTACAATGCTGGTTGACTAGGAGAGTTGATGCCCACTATCCTTATGCCCCGGTTGGTCGTGCCGGTACCGGTGCCATAGAAGGAGCACCAAAGGTTCACGACTTTAGTCATTCAAGATCGCTGCTTCACTTACCTGCAGGTTCTAACAGAGTCGAAACCATTTCGTTTTCTAAGAATCGTTAAAGACGATAATTGAAACCCCCTGCCATCGATACACATTCAACCTTCATATGCATACGATATTATCGAACTTTACGTCTCTGATACGAATGATCATAATGTTTGCAGACGATAAATGTAGACTTCAAAACTATCTCAACCTTTTATTCCCTCAAAATTTCTTGAATTGTAAATAAAGGGGAATCATACAGTAGAATATTGGAGCTATATCATTGAAATTTTTGAACCAGTAAGGAAAGGAACCTGAGCTAAGGTTGAGGGTAAGGAAACGTGAAGGTTATAAACCGCTAGATAGGCGGCGATGCCGGCAGCATTACCGGCAAAAGCAAAACCACTCACCTGCAACAAAAATGTGAGCAAATGTGAGCAAAGCACCCAGAATGGCAACAGCTTGGATGTATGGCTAGGCAGGTTTGCCATGGTCGGTTTTGCAGTGGCCATTACCGTCTAAATATCCACTGGAAAGGGACTTTTGGAGGTAACCCAGTGTGCCATTTTTGTTTCTTGTTCATGATTTACTGTCAATTATTAAACTACCATGTTTTAAAACATGTTTTAAACTTGGTCCTTTGCAGAATTTTGGCCTCGCTACCCCTTTACCAACAGTGGCCTGGCTGCGACTGCATTGGTTGGTGTTTTGACAGCTATTTTCATCTTCCAATCCGCTGCTAAAAGTTGATTCTCTATTAAGCTCTAGAAGAACAATATCATCCTCAAAGATGTTTACAGCAGTGAATTTTTCATTGAATGTCTACTCCAATTGTCTTACTTTGTACAAGAAATTCAACTTTTTTGTCAATGCCTTCCTCTCTTGGTGTTTCTTGTACTGTCAACTATTGATCATATAGTTTTCTGTTTATGTACATTGTTGGCTCATTTCGAATACGATTATCCATAAACAAGAAGTTACATACATGCTGCAATGAGATAATTCATCAAAATTTCACCAATTTTCATTTAGCATTCAATATGGAGGGTCATATAGATGTGAAGATATTGTAAACCCCCAAAAAGAAAGGGTACCACGGGAAGGGGAAGGCGTAAAAACTTTCAATGAGGTGATGACTTAAGAAAGAAACATGAGGGAAAGCCAGGCCAGGCCTACTAAGATATCCATTGATTGTGAAGCGGATGAAGCCTTCGACTTTTTATCCTTTTTCTTCTTCCCGCCGTTTTTGTTAGCCTTTGTCTTTGGTTTCTAGTCTAAAACAGGCTGTGTGTTTTGCAAGTGTTGATGGATGGCGGCGAGCGGGTTTGCTCGGAAAGCAAGATGCTGGAGAACTGCAGTCAATTGTTTTCCTTCTTTTAATCTGATGAGAATTCATCCATTAAAATCAGTTAGTTAATGTATGGGATAATCAAACATTATAACATGGTAGAATCACAAAATCAAAGCACGGACATCAATTTTTGCCTAGATTTGCAATTGAGCTTGAAATCATTGGCAGGAGTAGGTTGTTTGGAAGCTTTTAACTCGGGGAGAAACTCCGACAGGGCAGAGAGGTCATATGCTTTAAGTTTCTTCTGCCTACTTCGAAGCTTCTTATTCTGGTCATAAACAAGAAATTCATTAGCAAAATCTAAATCCAAAA